CTACAGAGCAGCACCGAAACTGGGTCCCGCCCCCTGGTGGACGTATTATAACACCCTCAATGTGAAAAGATGCTATTCAGACTCAAAGAACATTTATTTAGGGATATTAGTAGTCAGGACACTGTGAACTGCCCTTTGCAGAAAGCCAGTTAAAAAGAACTTGGGACTTAAAAGGGGGGAAGGGGGCAGAAGCTGGGCCCTGGCCTGTTTGGCTCAGCAGTTAGAGTGTCAGCCTGTGGACCAGAGTCATGGGTTCGATTCCGGTCAAGGGCACGAACCTTATTTGCAGTTCAGTTCCCAGCCCTGGTCGGGGTCGTGCTGGAGGCAACCAATCGATGTGTCTCTCTCACATATGTTCCTCTCTCTCTCCCTCTCTCCCACTCTATCTGAAAATCAATGGAAAAATATCCTTGGGTAAGGATTAAAAAAAGAAAAAAGAAGCTGGGATTGGTAGAGAAAAAGAATCGGCTCATAGACCTGAAGAGTCCAAGAGCAGCTTCGAGCATGACTGGATCCAAATGCTTAAATGTTATTAGAAATGTGTCTTTCTCCAGCTTTCAACTCAATTTCACACTGAGTTGACTTCATCCTCAGTTTGTGTCTCCTCAGGGTGCCACCAGCCTGCCAAGCTGACATTTTACCGTCTTAATGGTCCCGTGGAAATCATGTCCCTTTCCTACAGGCTTACGTTTCCCTGGCTGGGTCATGTGTATACTTTCCGACCCACACCTGGAGCCAGGGCAAAGAACAGGCAGTCAACCCTTCCTCATAGACAAAGAGTAGGGTAGTTTGAATCCCAAAGGAAAACCGAGGTGCTGTTCCCAAGGGGAGGGGGCTGGCGATGGGGAGTGAAAGTGACGTGCCACAAGGCACATACCGAGGGGCAGACACTGTATTCTGTGCTCTCCTAGAACCCCATTAAAATCCCTTAGCTTTACATGTGAGGGGTCAGGGCAAAGATGGGCCATGGGGCCATGAGGGGTCCAGTGATATGACCTACTAGTACCTCTCTGAGTGCATGATGTGACAGAGCCCACACCGGGTGGGAAGCCAGCGCCGTGTCTCCTCCCAGCGCTCGCTCGGCAGGGACGCGAGCTTAGTCACAGAGGAGCTCCATTAGCGTCAACACTAAGTTAAATAGTGTCAAATGTGGTGTTACAAAATGTTTATAACAGGGTAAGATTCCATATGGTAAGGAGGAAAGAGGATGAGAACAAAAGGCAACTCCAGACAAAGCAAGAAAACACAGGGGAAATTTCAGAATAGGTGAAGCAAATATAAAACACAAAAGCACACAGAAGACATTCGTCAGAATAGATCAGTAGTCATAACACATGTCAATGGAACATACTGGTCAATGAAAGAAAATGAAGATGGTAAGATGTGATTTTTATATCCAAATATATATTTTTTAACAAGAGCTAGGCAAAAGAAGCGAAAATTTTGAAAGTATAAGGAAGGAAAAATAAAATAAACTAGGAGAATACTAACCAAAATAATTCTGGCCCTGGCCGGTTTGGCTCAGTGGTTAGAAGGTTGGCCCGCGGACCGGAGAGTCCTGGGTTCGGTTCCCCCTAAGGGCATGTACCTCAGTTGCAGTTTGTCTCCGGCCTCGGTTGGGATCGTGTGGGTGGTGACCAGTTGATGTGTCTCTACATCCATGTTCCTCTCTCTCTCTCTTCCCCCCTCTCTCCCTCCTGCTCTATCTGAAGATAAATGCAAAAAAATAAAAAATAAATGAAAGGGTAATATTATTAAAGATGTTGCAGAGATTAAGAATGATAAGATCAATTTTATGCCCCAAAAAAGGGAAAACTCAAACACTGTGAACAAATTCCTAGAAAAACAGGACTTGCCAAACCTAACTTAAGAAACAGAAAATCCGATGGATCCGCCGAGCATTAGTAACAGATGAAACCAATGGAATACCGGCAGCACCTGGCTTCAGAAAGCAGTTCCATCCAACCCTCAAGGAGCGGCTTGTCCCAGTCCTGAGAAATTCTGTCAGAGGAGGAAAAAGGGCAACTCAGCCATTTATGTGATGAGGCCAAAGCGAGCATGAGAAGGGAAATGATAAAAAACCAGAGACAGCTCAGATGTCCGTCAACAGGGCAGTGGATGGATAAACTGGAGCATATCCTCGTAACGGGATCCTCTACAACAGTGAAAATGAACTCCAGATTCACATGTGACACGGTCTAATCTCATAAATATAACGTTAAACGACGACCACCACCAAGGTAGCTACAGAAAAAGTCATGAAACATGATTGCACTTCTGTAAAAGTAAAATGCAGCCAGAACAACACAATATATCATTTAGGGATACATAAATACTTGCTGGCCCTGGCCAGTTTGGCTCAGTGGTTGGAGCATTGGCCTACAGTCTGGAGAGACCTGGGTTCGATTCCCGCTAAGGGCATGTACCTCAGTTGCAGTTTGTCCCCGGCCCTGGATGGGTCGTGTGAGTGGCAGCCACTTGATGTGTCCCTTTCATGTTGATGTTTCTCTCTCTCTCCCTCCTACTCTATCTGAACAAAATATCAAAAAATGTCCTCGGGTGAGGTTAAAATAAATAAATAAATACTTGCTGAACCAAGTCGGGGGCTAGTGAAGGTCTGTTTCTTAGCCTGAGGTGGTTATACCTGCATCCATTTAATATTTTTCAGTTTTCTTTAAACCATACATATGTCTTTTTATAGTCTCTGGACGTATGAATGTGTTTCCTTTAAAAATATTTAATGATGGCCCTGGCCGGTTTGGCTCAGCAGTTAGAGCGTCGGCCTGCAGTCCAGAGAGACCTGGGTTTGGTTCCCGCTAAGGGCACGTACCTTGGTTGCAGTTTGTCACCGGCCCTGGTTGGGTTGTGAGGGTGGCAACCACTTGATGTGTCCCTTTCACATCGATGCTTCTCTCTCTCTCTCTCTCTCTCTTCCCCCCACTCTATCTGAACAAAATATAAAACAAACAAACAAACAAATATTTAATGATGAAATCTACATGTCTGAGTAGAGGAGTTATTTGAGATGTTTGTTTTCTTTGTTTTGTTAATTTCTATGTTCTAAATTTTTTTACTTTGAACATGTGATTGTTTCCATAATAATCTTATTTTAAGTGATTTTTCAACCCTTTCGGAAAAGGGAAGTAATTATTTCCTAGCTTAGAACTAGGTTTTTCTTTGACAATTCCCCTCATTTCGGTGAGAGTCACTTTATCAGAGCTACCGGCTCCGTCTGGAACGTTAACCCAAGGGTAGATACCGCCTGCTTGGTCAAATATGTACACAGCTAGCACAGAGAAGGACCCGAGCCTCTGGAGTGCCAGAGGCATGACCTTGAGTTCTGCGAGGCTGGGTCTTCTGGGGAGAGAGAGCTGGGGCCTCCAGCATTAAAGGACCCATTGGTGTTGGCTGTGGCTGTTGGCTGTGTCCTTCACAAAGCCTTGCGAAGTCAAGCGTCCAAATCTACAGGTCCCATCCCAGGGACCCTGAGGGGGAGGTCTCCCTCTCTACAGGGAAGGAAGAAGGAACAGTGAGCTTGATCCCCCTGGTGGCTTCACGGATAACGGCTGGAGCTGAGGCCGAATGAGCGTCATGGGTCATCCAGAGGAACTCAGTGGGTCTCAGGACCAAGTGATGGATGGCTCCCAGGCTGAGCGTGGACAAGGAGAGCTACCACTCCAGCCTGGCAGGGCGGTGAGAAACGAGGCAGAACGGATGGCCTTAGAGTTGAAGCCAGATCTTGTTTTGCCCCAGAGCAGCAGATCCACTTGACAGTGTCTCTGGGGACATGATGTCATCCCCAGCTTCTCCTGTGTTTGAGCTAAAGGCGAGCTGGGACGGGCCGAGGGCTGTGACGGCACTCCCCAAACCGCAGTCGCTTGTAAGCCCTCTCCCTGTCCGGCGCGTTGTTCTCCCCAGCCTGCATTATGTGCACTTAAAGGTCTAAGCCAACTCCCTGTTTTCACTGAGAGACGTTTATTTAAAAACTTCTTATCATCATCATAAATGGAAATGCAGTATCACTTGTGGTAAATAGAGGTACTCGTGAGCATAAGATGCAATGACACAAAACAATGCTGTCAGTTTGGCCAGATCCAGTTGCCGGGGTAAAGCCGTCAGCCCGTATCCTGCTCTGTTGCAAAGGCAGGTGCAGGTGTTAGATGCTGAAATACAGAAGCTATTCCTGAGCCTTTCCCTCCGACCTCAGGGACTTGCAATACGGATGAGGAAGGAATCAGTGGCTGAAGGAAAAGCAGGCAGCAGGGCGAAGAAGCTTTATATGCCCAGAAGTGAGGGAAATCCTCCGCTTTCTGAAAATGTACGTCAAATACTTTGCGACAAAAATGTCCTGCCAAGAGTTTGGCTTTCGCACCTTCGCTGGCCTCTCCTTCGATCAGACTGACATTAGCTGGTGACCTAAGTGCTGGCCACACTGCAGGCGTTTGAAAGGCAAGGGCCTGGCCCTCGGGAACACACACTCCACTGGAAAGACGGAGTTGTTCACAACCGACTTGGATGCAAGCCTGACTCAATATTTGCGTCGTCTTCCTTCAACCTTCCCCAACTCATGCAAGCAGTGCTGTAGGTGCTCAAAAATCGTTTCATTAGGGTTCAGAAATAGCAAACATCAATTGGTTTCTGACTATGAGCCAGACTGTAGAACACTTAATCCTTTCAAGAACTGAAAAGGTATTTCTATAAAGGAGATATATATATGTATACATATTATTTCCTGGAAGTAGTTAACCTCACACACCTCCATATGAGGCTCAGAGGGGCCAAGGCACTTGGCCAAGGGCGCACAGCATGTTAGAAGCAGACGTGGGATTTGAAAGCAGGTCTCCAGAATGCTCCCCACTGTGGGCTGAGGGAAGAAGTTCCCGTTGTCCATGGGAAGTCAGCCCCCCTCCCACCCCACCTTTCCTGGTGTAGAAGAAGCAAAGGCCAGAGGCTAGGCCCTGGGGAGCCCTCAGCCCTCACCTGTGCTTGTGTCTCCTCAGGAAGCCCAAGCTGTCCTGCACCGAGTGCTCCAGCAACCTTCTGAGCTGCTGCAAGAGTCTGTGGGGACTTCGGTTCCTCCAGAGACACGTGGGAGGCCCCTCGGAGGAGCAGCCACTGAGGACACCGCCCTCCCAGGCTGTCTAGACCCGGCCCCAGGACACTGAAGATACTGCTCCTGGTCACAAAATGTGACTCCTAGAGCCACTAAGGGCCCGGCAGCCCCCAAAGCCACCAAGGAGTGACCCTAGCCTGAGTCTAGGGGTTCCCGGAGCACCCAGTGGGGTGCGAGGGTCCTCGGGCCTGGGGCGGAACAGCCTGTCTGTGCTCAGCGTTCCCAGACAGGCTGAGTCCCAAGCTCGCGTTGGTGCTGACCCCGAGTCCTGAGCAGAGATGGGGGGACATTGGGGATGTGTGCGCATGTGTGTGCACGAATGTGAACGTGCCCTCTGAGCACAGCAGAGGGTGTTGCCCTACAGCACTAGCCTCTCGCTGCCTGTGGGTTCTGCAGGACAGAGGGCAGGGAAGGGCAGGGAAGGAGAACACTAGCCTTTAATGAACACCGACTGTGTGCGAGGTACTTCGCCTGCATGAGCTCCCATAATCTTCATCACCTGCAACAAGGATCACTGTCCCTCCTCTACAGAGGTGGAAACTGAGGGCCGCTCCACTAGAACGTGTGTCTGGCTCATAGGAGGCACTAGAAAAATAGTCGTCGAAGGAATGAATGAATGAACCAACGAACGGGAGGAGGGGTGAAGAGCCAGGCCACAAGCCCATGCTGTCCACACAACACTACCTGCCTCCTGGGAGAGAGGCCACGGTATTTCCTGACTGAGCCCATTCCGTGAAGCTCAGACCGTGGTCTGGGAGGGCCCTTATGCTGCAGCACGAGTGCACTTGCTGGGGAAAGTGTGCCAACGCCAGGGAGGGAAGGCGGAGGTTGGGAGGATGCAGCAGACATGAGTAGGGAAGCTGACCCCGCAGCATCCTCTGCTGGGATGCATAACCTTGGGTGAGGCAGGGGTCCCCTCTGAGCATCTCTACTCCTCTGTCCTGGGGTAACCTGTCCTATTTACAGGGTGGTGACAACTCCAGAGAGGTGAAGGTGGCCATGGACTCTCCTCGTGGACCACTGCCCTTCCTGAGCCTGCTCTTCCCCTCATTCCAAGACCCCCTCCTGGTGTCCCCTTCCTGCCTACCCGTGCCCTTCAGTCCCTCTTGCAGCTCCCTGTCTTCTCCCAGCCATCCCTGTGGCTGCGTCCCGCGCCTCCTCTTCTCCCAGTGACTTCTCTCCCTCGCGGCCTCAGCTACACCCTTGAAACTGAAGTTAGCCGGAGAGTTATCTCTCGGCAGCTCATTCCCAGACCTGCACCCGGAGCCCAGGCTCTCTGGGAGCTTTCCGCCCACTGCTGCCTTCCCGACGCCTCCACCTGGGTGTTTCAAAGGCACCGCTTCTGCCATGTCCACACTGCCCCTTGACCTTCTCCCAGCGCCTGCTGCTCTCCCGGGCTTCCCCTTCTCAGACTCCAAGGGCCGAGGGTCAGTCTTGGCGTCCTCTCCACCAGCCCAGTCATCTCCATCCCGCTGCCACCCCCTCCATCGGGACCACTGAAATGGCTTCCGCACTGCCTCCCTCCACCCACGCTCCACCCACAGCCACAGTGCGAATGCCTGGTCATGTCGCACCTGGGGGAAACCATCCACCGCACGGCCCACTGTTTAGTCCACCCACAGCCATGCACAAAGTGTTTCCATGACTCGAAATGCTCTTTAGGTCACAACATCTCAGCCCCTGGAAGAGCACTTCTTGAGGAAGCCCCCCCCATTAGGCCAGCCTGACGCACAGCCCCAGAACTGTCCCCAGAAGCCGCTGGCGTGGTGGTAATGTGTAGTTGTCTGTGGTTTCCTGGCCCCCGTCCGCTCAGGAGGTCACAGGTCCTGCCTGTGTCTGTTGACCACTGTGTGTCTAGCTCCCAGAAGACCATTTGGCACATAGTAGGAGCTTTAAGTAGCTTATCTGCCAACACCCCTGAAGGCACGGTTTTCCACGAGGACTTCAGTTATTCAGTCTCCTGGCTGGATTCCTGGAAGCCCCAGAACCCCCTCATTAGAAGTTTCCCCAAAGGCCTAAAGCAGGTGGGTCCCCAAGTCATGGCCAAGTAGTTGGCAGCATGAGACTGGTCTGGCTGATCACAGACTCAGGTGCCCCTGCGCCTCCTGCCACCACGGGGGCCTCCTTCAGGCCTGTCTTTGCGCTGCCCCTACCCTTCTGGAGGCCCCTTGGTGCCTCTGCTGACTGCGAAAGTGGGGCACAGGCTGCCTGGAGGAGGCACATCTGTGGTGGCCCCCAAAGTCCACCATCCATGTTACCGTAGTGTTCCAATAAAGTTATCGAAACTGATGCTGACTTGCAGTTTTATTTTTTAACTTTCTGGTGAGGAGATACTCCCCAAACATCATCATATGGTGTGTCTTGATTTAGAAAAAGAGTTATGATAAAACGCTGGAGTAAAGGCTAGATTGGAAATTGTCCTAAAAAGTAAAAGAGTTATCCGGAAACTAGGTTTCGTCTTAAAAGGCAGCCTCAGAAACGAGGGGCAGGCTGGTCAGAAGGCTCAGGCCCTCGTGCTGCCCACCTGGAGAGTTGGCGTGTGGCGGGCGCTCAGAGAGTGTCTGTGGAAGGGAATGTCTCCGGAGGTGCCAGCTTCACAGATGCCTTTGTTAAGTGGGAGAAGGAGACAGTTTTAAAATGGAAAACCGGCCAGTCGAAGAAGTCTGCCGTCGAGAGTAGGTAGGTAAGGTGCAGGGAAGAAACCAGATCCAGGAAAATGCATGGATTCTGTGCAAGGACCAAGTCCCTAGGGCAGCAGTGACAGGGTGTGGAAAATGCAGGGAGGGGGCTGACCAGAGCAAGGTTGTGGTTTGATAGCCACAGTGTCAGCCGTGAGCAGGGGCCCGGGGTGGAAGGGACGCGTAAAGACACGCGAGGATGAACGTGCACGGGAGGCAGAGAAGAGGATGAGCTGCCACCGTGAAAACTCCCAGGAACTGAAGAGCACGAGTTCTACTGCGTTCGTTCATTTGGGCGAAGGGAGACCCGGGGAAGGGGACAGCAGGTGGCTGAGTCAACAGAGGACGGTACAGCTCTGTGTCCCCGGAACAGAACTCTGGGCGCAGCGAACGCTGGAGCACTTCGCAGGCAACCAGCCAGGACTGGAAGCTGGGGAACCACACTTTCCAGAATCCGGTTCCAGCAGATTCAGATGGCACCAGTGGGAAGCAGAAGAGAAGCAAAACCATTACTGCTAAGCAGACAAAGGGGTGGTGGGAGGAGAGAAGGGGGCGGGCAGTAGGGGAGCCCCCGTGGCGCTGCCTTAGACAAGCCAGCTCATCCCCAGCCCCGGAGGAACGGGTGGGAATGCCTTGCAAGGTCTCTGTCGGGAGGAGGCTAAGTGCTGAGGTCTGTTATGGAAAGATCATTCAGACCCCCGTCTGGAAGACAGACTGGGGGAGCAGAGTGAGTGTGAGCAGCCCCACTGCAGGGGAGGGTCGGCTGTCGCATCTTAAGAGGGCCAGCTTCAAACTCTACTGCAGACCTCGATCTCTGTGTCGGGGAACCCAAAGGAAGCAGACCCTCCCTGCTCTCCAGAGGGCTGGGCTTGTACCTCATATCACCAGGGAATCAAGGAGGGGCAGGGACATGGGGACCAGTGCTGAAGTTGCTGTAGTCAGGGGTAAGGTGCAGTACGTGGCAGTGTGGGAGGACGGGGGCCACAGCAGCCACGAGCTCCTAAGGGGAGATGCTCCCGGTGCACACAGAGCGGGTTTGTGTCCAAACTCAGGGTAGAGGCGTGGTGGGTAGCAGGGGTGCTCAGTAGCCCAGATTGCGGGGATCTGTTTGTAATCCCATCTCAGCTAAGGGGCTGCAGCTCACCTTTGCTTAGCCCACACCATCTGTCTTGGGGACTAGCTTTGGAGGGAGGTTTACATCTTCACTGTCCTTTTGAGGGGGCTCTTTCCAGGCCATTCAAGCAGGAAATGACAGTGAGGACACATCTCCCACTAGAGTTCCAATCATTTCAACCACCATTCGGGAACCTTCAACAGTCACTAACGGCTGCGGGGTGACTGAGGACGCCCTCTCGCCTCCGCCAGCAGCCCTAGAGGGCTCGTCATTCACTATTTTGGATGTCATTGCAGATGCTGGCACCATGCCCCTGCCCTCCCCACTCAGGGTCACATAGTACAGCATGCTTCTCATGACCCAAGATGCCATCATGTGAGCCAGGGCACTGGCCTGGCTGGACCTTGTCCCTCACTCCCTGGGGCACTGCCAAGGCTCTCATGTGCCTGATGGGCCCGGTGGGAGTCCCAGGGAAACAGCCCGCGGGACATGCAGTCTTGGCTGTGTGACTCCCAGATAAACTGACATTTATATTCAGGAGCCGCTCCCTGCACCCAGACGCTATGTCTGGCCCTCCACAGCGAATGCAGTCCCCTCCTCTGGGCACCCCTGCCAGGTGGAGGTTTGTATCCCCACCAACAGGAGCCTGAACAGGAACATAAAGCACCCAAAGTAAAAAAACCTGAGTGACATTAGCCAGGTTTCCAACCCAGAGCCTTGGGTCTCCAAAGTTCTGTCTTTTCTTTCTTTTTTTTTTCCATTTTTTGTTCAGGTAGAGTGGGAGGGAGAGAGAGGAACAGAGAGAGAGAGAGAGAAACATCGATGTGAAAGGGACACATCGAGTGGCTGCCACCCGCACAACCGACCAGGGCCAGGGACAAACTGCAACCAAGGTACGCGCCCTTAGCGGGAACCGAACCTGGGTCTCTTAGGACCGCAGGCCGATGCTCTGACCGCTGAGCCAAACCGGCCAGGGCTTCTGTCTTTTCTTTATCATTCATGTTATGAAATTAATTTTTGAGGATTAAGCCACTATGTGACATTATGGAGGAAGCCAGAGTTCCTTGTCAACCTCTCCCCCCCCCCTCCGTTTCTCCCTGCAACTTCCCCAGAGGTGACCGCGCTCCCCAGTTTGCTGAATGGCATTTGGTTCTGTTTTCTTTGGTTGTCAACATAGAAGTTATATGGCATCTAAGGAATTGACCTCAATAATTTCTCTCCAAGATTCAAGAACATTGGGGCCCATGGAGGCCTCCTGCGTTAACTGTGGCCACCAGAGGTTTTTCCATGGTCTCGGTACCCCCCCCCCCCATTTGTTTAGCTGTCCCCCTGACCAGGGACGTTTGAGACATTTCTAATTTTTAGCTGTTTAATCACTAATATACTGATCATATGACAATGTTTCCTGTGTACATGTGCCAAGTGGGTTTTGTTGGTGGTGGTGGTGGCAGTGGTGTGTGTGTGTGTGTGTGTGTGTGTGTGTGTGCGCGTGTGTGTGTGCAGGCATGTGTGTTTAGCATGCCTACAAGTGTAATCCTGCATGGGAGGTATATGTGCTACTGAATGGCCCTCCTGAGAGGAACAGCTGGTTCAAGCTCCCACCCACAGGGGTTGGGGGCTGGCTCCCTACAGCCCCACCAGCCCACTTGTGTTTTTCCACCACGCTTGTGGCTTCTTTCATCCCCTAGAGACCAGCATGTCCTCTGAGAGATGCCCTGCCTCCAGTGAGTGTCGGACAGGATGCTGAGGTAGAAGAAATTCTCAGCACCTTCTCTGGGCTCACCCCAAGCATTCCATGAGCTCCACCAAGTTTTGTCACCCTCCTGGGGTCTCTGGGCTGGAAGCCGGCCCTGCCCAAGTTACACTGTAGCAACTAACAGTGGCCATAGTAGTGCCGGGTAGCAAACGACATAGGAGAGCAAACCTTTACTTAGCCCACAAATCTGTCCCTACCCTGCTTCCTAGAACAGCCCATCACTTCTCTGTCACAGGACACATCTCACAAACCCCAGGCTTGGACGGCTTCAGGGGCCACAGGAAGTTCACTGGCATAAGACGACAGAACAAGGTGCATGGTGGTTTGTCCCTGCTGCTGGCCTATGCCCCTGCCATGCTAATGACCAGCCCTCTGATACCCTGTCACCCGGG